ATCTGAAAATCATGGATTTAAGCTATCATCATTAATGGATGTTAGGAGCTCTTTGTGTTTGTCTTTTTTTAAGTTGCAAAGATAGGAGGGGAACCTTTCTGTTTTAAGTATTAAGTGTGCCTTCTAGTAGGACTTTGCTTTCAAAGACCATCGAGAGAGGGGAAGGTCCAGAAGGCTGCTCTTTTCTGAGGATACAGGCTCCTTGAGCCTTCCTGACCAGTGTGGTTACCATCTCATCTAGCCATCCTTAGATCCTGGCCTCCTGGCTGGGGGGCCTGTCTTCCCTTTCATGCGGCTGATACAGAATACTTCACAGATGGTCTCGTGACTCAGAAGTCTTACAAAGAGCAAACCAGGCCAGGGTCCCTGTCTTAGTTATCTAGTGCTGCTGTAACAGAAATACCACAAGTGGGAGGCTTTCACAAACAGAAATTTATTTTCTCACAGTTTAGGAGGCTAGAAGTCTGAATTCAGGGTGCCAGCTCTAGAGAGAGGAAGGCAGGTGTTTGCTCAAAGGTTCTTCAGCAGAAATGAAATGTAAAACACCAGCATCATCCACCAGAGTTAAGACACAGAATGAGAGGACATCGTAGGCTCAGGCAAGACTGTTGGGGTTGGGGTGCCCTGTTTTACCACCCTAGTGCCTGGTCCACTTCCCGCAGCGCATGCTCTGAGATTAGGCAGCTAAACCGAGCAGTCCCAGCTCAAAGGATCTGAGGGGACAGAACCAGCTTTGGCCTGGAGGAGGCTGTAGATGGCACTCAGCCCCTTTCTGCTGCCCGTGCTCCTCGGTCATTTCTGTGCGCTCCCTCACTCCATCCTCTAATGCCATAACTATCTTTGGCAGCCCTTGTTCTCACCTTGCATACCTGTAGAAGGACTTGCGGCCCCCAGAGGCCTCCCTCTATCTGCTGATGGTCCTCAGAAACAGCACGAGGAGCGCCTTCTTCCTGCTGGGTTATTCACCTTTCTCACCTTTGAGAGAAGAATCAACTTAGCAGGATATCTTTCTCTTTCCTTCCCTTTTCTTTTTCAGATTGCTTCAGTCCCTGGGTGGTGCAAACAGTTAATGTGCTCAACTGCTAACCAAAAGGTTGGAGGTTCAAGGCCACCCAGACATGCCATGGAAGAAAGGCTTCTGAAAAATCAGCTATTAAAAACCCTATGGAGCACAGTGCTGTTCTGACACACATGGGGTCGCCATGAGTCAGAATCAACTCAGCAGCAACTGGTCATAAACAGGCTTATGGATTCTGATGTTTGTCATTCAGTGAACTGATTCCACAAACAGGATGTGATGTATTGATTATACTAATGTCTCCTGCTCCCCCTCACTTTTCCCAGCCAGCTCTTGCCATGTGACTTTACAGTGGGCCCCCATAGCGGGTGTGCAGACCTGCTCCAGCCCTTGAATGTGGGCTGACCTTGTGGCGTGTTTGGCCAATAGAATGTGACAGAGGTAGCAATGTGCCAGTTCCGAGCCCAGGCCTCAAAAGGCCTTAGATGTTTCCATTTACTCTCTTGCACCTTGGTCATCACTGTGATAGCATACTAGCCTGCTAAGAATGAGAGGTGTGTAGGGCAGAGCTGAGTCACCCAGTTGTCCTAGCCAAGGCCACCCTAGATCAGCCAGTAGCCTGCCAACCCCAAGACGTGTGAGTGAGCAAGGTCAAGATGTGTGTGCCACTGACATTTTGCATTTGTTTGTTAGACAGCATTATGGTGACAGGAGACAACTGTGTATCACCTAAGCACCTGTTTTCTGCCAGTACAGTACTCTCAGGGTAGATTTAGAGAGGTCTCAGACATGTAGGGGCCCTGGTGGTGCAGTGGTTAAGAGCTCGGCTACTAACCAAAAGGTTGGCCGTTCGAATCCACCAGCCGCTCCTTGGAAACCCTCTGGGGCAGTTCTGCTCTGTCTTAACAGGGTTGCTATGAGTTGGAATTGACTCGACGGCAGTGGGTTTGGTTTTTTTCAGATAAAGTTCTTGTCTTCTGGAAGTTTTCAGACTTGGGAAGGACCTAGACATGTAGGTACAACCCAACATCAGGAACAGAGATGTCCTGTAAGCAGATAACCCTAAGTGTGTTATGAGAGGCTGGGATGGGATGCTGCGCCCTCCCGGAGCCTGGGCAGAGCAGGGAGTGTTTCCAGAGGAGAGGGTGACGTCTGGGCTGAAGCTTAAAGGGTGAATGAAAGTTGGCTAGTTAAAGCAAGAAGGAATCCCATTATAAGCAAAGGGAATGGTGTGAGCTGAGGGCTTTACAGTCTTGTGGGTAATCCCATTTCTCTTTCTTCCATGAGAACTATTGAACTGAGCTAAGAGGGACTGAAAAGCCAATCATACGGGGCCTTTTTTTTTTTTTTTTCAATTTCAGTGTTTTTTTTTTGTTTTTATTGTGGTAAAAATATAACATTTGCCAGTTCAACAATTTTTACAAGTACATTTCAGTGATATTGATTACACTCGCCATGTTGTACAGCCATCACCACAATTCATTTTCAAATTCATTCCACTACCATTTGTTTCAGTGTTTTTTTAAAAATACGTTTTTACATATTTATAACATATATACAAATTATAAGGGTATAAAAACCCATTGTCATCAAGTCAGTGCCAACTCATAGCAACCCTATAGTACAAAGTCGAACTGCCCCATAGGGTTTCCAAGGAGCAGCTGGTGGATTTGAACTGCCAACCTTTCGGTTAGCAGCCATAGCTCTTGACCCCTGCGCCACCAGGGCTCCTTATAAGGGTATAGCCCAGTGAATTACCAAAAAGTAAAGACAGAAACTTAGACATGACACAGGTCAAGAAATAGAACACTGCTAGCTCCTCAGAAGCCCTGCTTATAACCAGACCCACTCATGACCTTCTCTCCTTCCCAAACATAGCCATCATCCTGGCTTCTAACATCATGTATTAAGTTTTGCCTGTTTTTGAACTTTATGTAAATGGAATCACACAGTTTGGCTTTAAGTTTCTTTAGCTCTTTTGTGACTGGCTTCTTTTGCTCAACATCATAGCTGTGAGATTCATCCATGTTGTGGGAATCCATGGTTCATCTTCACTGATGTACATACTTTTATTGTGTGAATATGCTACAATTTATATATCAACTGCGCATTTAATTGTGCATTTGAATTGTTTCTACTTTTTGACTATTATGAACATTCTTGTACGTGTCTTTTGGTGCCCACATGCAGACATTGCTGTTGCGTATATAGTTAGGAGTGGAATTGCTGTGTCATTGAGTGTGCACATGTTCAGTTTTAATAGACAGTACCCAAACAGTTTTCCATAGTCGTTGTTCCAGCTCACACTCCCACCAACAGTGCTGCACATCCTTGCCAACACTTATTGTTAGTCTGTTAAATTTAGCCATCTGGTGTTATGTAAGGGTATCTTGTTATGGCTGTACCTAGCATCTCTGTGTTACTAATGAAATTGAGCATCTTTAGATATTGTTTAGTGACTATTTAGGTATCTTTTTTGGTGATGTTCTGATTCAAGTATCTTGCCAACTTTCCTATGGTTTACCTATTAATGAATTTGTAAGAGTTCTTTATAAATTCTAAACAGAAGCCCTTTGGAGGTTATCCGTGTTGGCAATATTTTCTCCAACTCTGTGGTTTACGTTTTAACTCTGTTCATGTTGGCTTTTGATGAACAGAAGTTCTTGATTTTAATATAGTTCAGTTACCTATCCTTGTGCCAATACCACAGTCTCAAAAAGCACTGCGGTTTTATGGTAAGTCTTGAAATCTTGCAGTGTACCTCCTCCAGCTTTTTTCTTCTTCAGGATTGCCTTGTCTATTCTTGGGCCTTTGAACTTGATAAATTTTAGCATCAGCAGCGTGTCAATGTCTGGAATTTGTTGTTGTTAGGTGCTGTCGAGTTGGTTCCAACTCATAGCAACCCCCTGTACAACAGAATGAAACACTGCCTGGTCCTGTGCCATCCTCACGGTCATTGCTATGTTTGAGCCCATTGTTGTAGCCACTGTGTCAATCCATCTCATCAAGGGTCTTCTTTTTTGCTGACCATCAACCTTACCAAGCATAATGTCCTTCTCCAGGGACTGGTCCCTCTTGATAACACGTCCAAAGTGCGTGAGACGAAGTCTCGCCATTAATTGACAACTTGGCAGTTTTGAGTTTTCTATTACGTGAACATTGTATGTCCCTCCATTTACTTAGACCCATTGCCATCGAGTTGATTCCGACTCATAGCGACCCTATAGGACAGAGTAGAACTGCCCCATAGGGTTTCCAAGGTTGTAAATCTTTACAGAAGCAGACTGCCACATCTTTCTCCCACAGAGCAACTAGTGGAGTGAAACCATCGCCCTTTTGGTTAGCAGCAAGCACTTAACCACTGCACCACCAGAGGTCCTTTCCATTTACTTAAAACCAAAAAACCAAACCCATTGCCGTCAAGTCGATTCTGTTCTTTAATACTGCACAGCAATATTTTGTACCTTTCCATATAGAAATCTTGTGCATCTTTTGTTAGATTTATTCCTAGATGTTGGGTTTTTTTTTATATACTATTATAAATGGTATCTTTTTAAATTTTTATTTTCCTTTTATTGCTAGTATATAGAAGTACCTGTTGCCGCTGAGTCAATTGTGACTCATAGCGACCCTATAGGACAGAGTAGAACTGCCCTATAGGGTTTCCAAGTTGCAGCTGGTGGATTCGAACTGCTGACCTTTTGGTTAGCAGCAGAGCTCTTAAACACTGCACCACCAGGGCTACTATAGAAGTACAGTTGATGTTTAACATTGACTTTAGACCCATTGTCGTTGATAAACTCACGTATTAATTGTAATGGTTTATATGTAGATTCTTTGGGTGAATCTCTGACACACAGTTGTACCATCTGTGAATGATCACAGTTTATTTCTAGTCCTTATGGTTTTCATTCCACTTTCTTGTGTTCTATACTGACTCTCAGACTGTGGACCTAAAGTGGTTTTCCTTCTCTCCTTCCAGATGAGGCGGAGGCACATATTGACTATGAAGATAATTTCCCCGACGACAGATCTGTGTCCTTCAGAGAACTCATGGAAGATTCCCGGACAGAGGCAGAGGTGGACAGGGATCAGGGAGAGGCCTCTGAGGAGGCTCCAAAGCAGGACCGCCTGGTCTCCGTTTCTGTAGGGGGAGAAAACAAAACCCAAGATAAAGTCTTTGTTCCAATCACGGGCTTGCCCGGTGCTGGGAGCACTGTCCCCACGGACTTGCCGGGATCCCGGCTAAACCAGAAATACTTGTTATGGTTACCTGCTCAGACTGTCCACAAGCCTAAGTTAGAAGAAGAAATGGATGATGATACCAAAAAGCAGTTTCCTGCTGGAGACAACCACAGTGGTGTGAAACTGGACCCAGGTGAACCCGAAACCAAGATGATCTATAGCAGCACTGAGGGCCCCTCAGGGTCATTTGTGGGCAGGAACGACAAGGCAGGGGATCCGATGCTGAGCAGCAGTGATGAGTCCTGGTTGGATGGCTACCCTGTGACTGATGGGGCTTGGAGAAAGATAGAGGAGGAAGATAGAGACAAGGGGGATGGGCCAGAGGGACTGGATGAACGCATTCTAGCTACTCCTGACCAGTCCATTCTTGTGGAAGTTAAGAAGTCCAAAAGTACCACCTTCACACCAAGTGAAGACATGACTGTGACCCATAATTCAGTTCTTCCATCTCAAATGCTAGATGTGGAGGTATTAACTCTCAGACCGGTGAAAGTGTCTGAGACTGAGGGGTCCAGCAAGGGGGATGGTAATGTGACCAGGTACCAGTCAACTATACCTTGGAGATTTGTCACAGAGACGTCTCCCATGGCCATCCTACCCTATGAACTCCCCAACTCTACTCTGGACACACTAACAACTGCTGTCCAGCAGATGCCTGACCACATCCCCACAACTGTCATGGCGGCCACCCAGCCACCAATAGAAACCACTGCTTCTGAGGCCCAGGATAGCTTCCCGTACCTGCTGTCTGAGGACTTCTTGGGACAGGAAGGCCCTGGCCCAGGTGCAAGTGAGAAGCTTCGTCCAACCTTTGCACCGTGTGTGGGGGACGAGTGTCCCACGTTCAGCAGAGGCCCTGTGATCGCCACTATTGTCACTGTCCTGTGCCTGCTGCTGCTCCTGGCAGTCATGGGGGCAGTGTGGGGTTACCACAGGTGCCAGCACAAGAGCTCCGTGTACAAACTCAACATCGGCCCGCCGCAGGCTCGGCATTACCACCAGCAGATTGAGATGGAGAAGGTCTAACGAGCTTTGGAGTGCGCTCTTCCAAAGCCACTTGGGAGGAAAAGTAAATAGCCTGGGACATATCACACTGATAAACTCTGACAGTTCACTGCAGCATGAGACAAGTGGAGCGGAGCACATTTTTTCCTCCTCGAGTCTTTGTTTTACAGGCTGAGAAGTGTCTCTGGAGGCACCTGGCAGGGCAGGAAGGCTGTGGTGGCACCATCACACACGCCAGTGTCTCCACAGCCATTCTGTCCTGGGATTTATTGCACTAATCCCAGGCCCATACTTGGGCCCTAATTCCAACGTGAGGTCAAAAATCACCTTTTGCTTTGTCATCCTATTGTCTTTTCCTTTTATAAAAAAAAAAAATTAGCTACTCCACGCCCTGAAGTTTTTAAAATAAGAGTGATAAACAGAACGTTTGGGAGCAGCGTTATTGAGGACACAAGATATCTTATCGTGTAGAGTGGGTTATGGAGGAATGATGGGTTGTTTCTTTTTAATATTGTGACATTGCTGAGAGTAAATGAGCCAGGAACCAAGACACAGTCTGGAAGCTTTGAGGTTTCTTTCTCGTTCTTGTTTGAGACTGCCCTCAGGGATTGGAGAGAATGTGAGAAGGACATTTTGTTGGGGGAAGGTGAGGAACGTGAAGAGATACACATCCATCTCTGTTCCCTCGAGTCTATGGGACAGCCCATCGCTTTTTACAAACAAGGTTAGCTTTGTACCAGTAAGCACCATTTCCTTTTGGAAGCAGTGGCCTAGTTGTCCTCGACCAGCCTGTGCCTAGGGATGTCTTGATATTTTCGCCAGGACTAACAAAACTCAGTCCTTGGTTTCCTCTCAGGATTAGCCATTTCTCTGAACTCCAGTAAGAGGGAATGAATGGGAGAAAAAAATGTTTTAAGGGAGCCAAAGTCTTGGATATCAAGTCTGGGTTCCTGCTTGATGATCTGTGCTGTTCCATTCTTTGCTCTAGTTTGGAAATTGTGAGCTCTGTGGAAACAGGGTCCATTCTGACTATTGGACAACCCAATGGATAGCATCTAGATCATCTTACGGTGGCCCAGCAAGTGTTATTAGGAAAATGATTCTCAAAGTGCGTTCCCTGGACCAGCAGCATCAACATCACCTGAGAACTTGTTGGCGATGCAAGATCTGGAGTTCCACCCCAGATCCGTAAAGCAGAAACCCTAGGGGTAGAACCCAGCTATCTGTGTTTTAACAAGCCCTCCAGGTGATTCTGATGCACACTCAGGCGAGAACCATGGGTTTTTGATAACAAATCCTGAGCTTTGAGGCAAATGGAAGACACAGAAGCACAGCAGATGAGTAACCCCTGTGGTTTGTCTTACAAGGACGTCGGGCACAGGTTCGTGCACCAGAGTCAGCATTTGAAGCTGCCAAAATGCCATCTCCAGTGGGCCTCCTACGTGTTGGCATAGAAACTAAACACGTTAGAGTTCTCTGAGTCATCTTCTTAGAAATAGTTTACAGTGGTAAAAAGTGATGAATACAATACATCTATTTCAAGACACCACAGGAGACTTAAGTGTTTCTATGTGGCATGGGAGAAATCCTGATCTTTTTTTGCAGTTGAAAAATTGTTGATGGTGCTTAACCTAAGTGTCTTAGTTATCTAGTGCTGCTGTAACAGAAATACCATAAGTGGGAGGCTTTAACAGACAAGTTTATTTTCTTACAGTTTAGGAGGCTAGATGTCCAAAATCAGGGTGCCATCTCTAGAGAAAGGCTTTCTGTCTGCTCTGGAGGAAGGTCCTTGTCTCTTTGAGCTTCTGCTCCCGGGTTATCTTCATGTGGCTTGGCATCCCTCTTCACCTGTCTCTGCTTGCTAGCTTGCATTTAATCTCTCTTATATCTCAAAAGAGTTTGGCTCAAGATACACCCTACACTAATCCTGTCTCATTAACATAACAAAGACAGCCCATTCCCAGATGGGATTATAACCGCAGGCATGGAGGTTAGGATGTACAGCACATACTTCGGGGGACACAATTCAACCCATAACAAAAAGATTCCTGCAACATGTGTTCTACCTGCCACCTTTTCTTGGTGCAAGCTTTGGAAAAATAAAGCTATAAAGTCAGTACAGCATAATCAGAGTCCTTCGTCCCCATACCTGGGTAAAACAAGCGTGTGAAGGTACCAACTGGAAAACCTATGCATCAGATGAAATCTAGAACAATGAAATCTGCATGTAGCCAAAGAAAAACCAACAGAACAAAAGCCAGAGACTGTATATATTTATAAATTAGATACTTTTCTAATCTATTTCAAGATAACTTTTTCTTTTAACTATATAAAATAACCTCTGTTTCAACATTGGGGTTTGTTAATCACACATTATTCTCTAATAACCCAAGAATATTGAATTTATACAAATCTTGTAAATAGATAATACAAATGTATTAATAAATTTATTACAAACTTATTAATACAGAGATGTATTTTTTTTTTTTTGCATGGGCTGCAAAATAAACCCAACACATCACTTTTTAAGTTTTTATTGATTTGGCATCATCTGAATTACTGTTATAGAGTCTAAAAATGCATGTAGAAAGAGAATAAATAAAAACACCGTAACCCTAAATTGTCAGCAATTATGCACGCTTTAAGACTGGTAAATGTTTAATGCTCATGAAAATTGAAGGGGGGTTCCATTAACACAAAGCGTCCGAGATACTTAAAATATTTCAAAAAACAGTTGCTGAATATATTTTGTTTCAGACTTATACTGCCCTGATTTAAAAAATAGAAAAGGATACTAATTTTGAAAATCATATTTTAATACTTGCTGTATCTGAGCCTCTCAGCCAGGTTACCTTGTGCAGCAAGGTTTCAGAAGTCTACAGAGCTCCTGGTACGCCCGTTGTCCCACCTCCTCCCTCCCTCTTTCTCACCCCAACCAGAGGAAGCCATTCAGTTTGCTACAAGGAAGCACCTAAGACCTCACTACTCAGAGTGTGGTCCCCAGACCAGCAGCACAGGCATCTCCTGGGAGCTTGTTAGAAATGGAGACTCTCAAGCCCCACCCCAGACCTGCCGCATCACAGGATGCCCGAGTGGTTGGTTTGCAGGTAGAGTTTGAGAAGACTGACCTCAGAGACCAGAACTGATTACCAACTTTCTCCTAACTGACGGGACACTCAGGCATCATTAAAGAGGGTTAGAGGAAGGGACTGCTTACAAAGGTGTGGGCAGGGATAAGGGGACCATCAGGGATGGTGAAGGGCTGTTGGGGAACCAACAAGAGCTTCAGCAGTAGGAAAGGCCCTGCTGGACAACAGCTCTGGCCTCAAGGAGAGCCCAGCAACTGTGGTCTGGAGGAAACAGGGATTTTGAATAACCAAACCTCTCACCCTACAGTCTCTTGCCAGCTCATTCCAGTATCTAAATCCAAGCAGAAGCCAGAGGGCAAACCAGGCAACGTAGACCACAGGGGCAGGCTCCTGGGGCACAGGGCAGGGTGGAGAAATCCAACCAAGAGACCGTCAGTACCAGTCCCATCTGCCTTATGTCCCCGTTTACCTTCATGACCTCTAGGGGTCCATGCTTCCCAAGCGATCCAATGTAGTGGATGCTCCTGGTGCCCCACCTAAACTCCCTTTACAGGGCAGGTGTACTGATCCTCCAGCTGCCCTTAGTGTTGGCTGCTAAGTGTGCGTAAGCACCTAAGTGCACCCTTCTCAGGGAATTGCCCTCAGCTTAATGGGAGTTCCCTTGCCCAGGAGGTTACACCCACCCATCTACCTATCTAGGGCAGCCATGACTGGTGGACAGGGCTATACAACAGGCCGGCTTTCTTGCCTGAAGGTAGGAGTAACCGTGGTACAATTCATGCTCCAGAGCTCCCCATGGATCAGGTTGGAACTTGTTTCAACTGAGATACATCCTTGATAGCTCCTCCTGCTTCCCTCACACTCCTGCGAGCTCTCTGCCACAGGCACAAAACTTTGCTTCAAGGGATATGGACCTCAGACATCTATCCACAGTCAAAGCTGTATTTCATATAGCTCCATTCCTTCCCAACCCAAACTTTTCCAGTGTGTCCTGTGGAATTCCTAGGCTGACATCAACAAAATCTCTCATGGGCCGAGCCGTCATGGCGCTATGGACAGAAGCACCACGCTGTCCCTCCACAGCAAAGACCCGAAAAACTAAGTAAACAGAGACAAACGTCAATCCTGGAACCCTAAGGGTCAAATGAAGAGATAAAGAACTCAGCCAAGTACCAAATGGAATAAGAAACTGACAGAGAACAGAGAGCAAGGAGAGTTACGAGCAGAGGTCCCCTATCAGCTAACACAGCATGGATCCACCATCTTGGACTCTTGTTGGAGATTGGTCGACAGGGAGTATGGGAAAGCAGATTCACGGAGCTCCCAGCAGGAGACAGAGCACCCAGTAACCAGCGAGACCCACTTTCCCACCCCCCACCCCCTCCCTGTCTCCCACACAGCTTCCCGGCTGGCCAATCCGAGGCTTCCCAGCAGGCCTCGACCATAGCACGGGAGGCGCCAGATCCATGCCTCGAGGATTCACCCCGCCCACACCAGCTGGCTTCTTCACTGCCATTTCTTTGTTGCTTGTCTTGCTTGTTTTCAGCCTCTTGGTTTCTTTGCCTCTCACCTCCTCCCCCTCATTTCTCTCGAACACCTGACTCTGTGTGCCATCTTTGCTTCTTCTTGACAGGCTGTGAAGTGCCGCTCGGCTGGGGAACTGCTTTCCCGGTCTGCGGCACCACGCTGGTGGTATCCCTGGGGGCTTTTTTTCTTTTGTTTGTTTTCTCTTTTTTTCCTTTTAATTTTTTTTTTCATTTCTTGGTTTCTCGTCTTTTTACTTACCTTCTTTTCCTGTCCCCTGAATACCTGCCGCTGTGTATCATCTCCACCCCTTCTAGCCAGGCTGTACTGCACGGCTTGGGAGCCGCTTTCCCAGTCTGCGCAGCCACGCTGGTGGGATCACTGAGAGAATTTTTTTTTTTTTTCTCA